ACAGTGCTGGAGGGTAAGAAGTGAAAGGTACAGGGGGGCACCTGGGCACACTACTGGGGGGTCAGCAGAGCAAAGTATAGGGGGGCAGTAGTCCATGATACAGAAGCAGTTTGTTCTGGTGTGCTAATTCCAACTAGCCTTCCTGTCTGGTCCATCTCACATAATATCGCCTGGGACGGACAGTAGGGCAGGGCTGGCAGGGATCAGTGCAGTACATTTCCTGTGCTGATCTGCAGCTGGGGAAGAAGCATTTTAGGCTGAAAGCACTTGACCTGTAGAATTAAAAAAAAAAAAAAAACTACTGATTTTTTTAGGCCCTGCAATAGTTGTGCAAATGTTTATCAAATCACTATTTTCACAAAAAATACACTAAATTATTAGCGAACACAACATACAATGCCTTGAAAAAGTATTCATACCCTGTGAAATTTTCCACATTTTGTCATGTTACAACCAAAAACGTAAATGTATTGTATTGGGATTGTATGTGATAGACCAACACAAAGTGGCACATAATTGTGAAGTGGAAAGAAAATGATAAATAATTTTCAACATTTTTTATAAACAAATATCTGAAAAGCGTGGCATGCATTTGTATTCAGCTCATTTTACTCTGATACCCCCCTAACTAAAATCTAGTGGAATCAATTGCCTTCAGAAGTCACCTAATTAATAAAGTCCACCTGTCTGTAATTTAATCTCAGTATAAATACAGCTGTTCTGTGAAGCCCTCAGAGGTTTGTTAGAGAACATTAGTGGACAATCAGCATCATGAAGGCAAAGGAACACACCAGACTGGTCAGGGATAAAGTTGTGGAGAAGTTTACAGCAGGGTTAGGTTATAAAAAATATCCCAGGCTTGAACATCTCATGGAGCACTGTTCAGTTCATGATCAATCCACACTTTTCAGCTATTTATTTGTAAAAAATGTTGAAAACCATTTATCATTTTCCTTCCATTTCACAATTATGTGCCACTTTGTGTTGGTCTATCACACCAAATCCCAGTAACATACATTTACGTTTTTGATTGAAACTTGACAAAATGTGGAAAATTTCAAGGAGTATGAATACTTTTAAGGCACTGTAACTTGCTAAATTCCTACTAAGGTTTTTTTCACATGGGTCATACTAAAGCATACGCCCCTGGAAGGCCATGTTTATTCATACTGGAATACAAAGGTGTTCTGTGCATCCACATGCAGGCACTCACATTGATGTCAATTGAGGCGCAGCGGCTGCACAGACACAGCTGCTGCTCCCAATCTGCCATCCGTGTGGATTCAGGGAAATGGGCCCCAAAAGCAGACCGTATGCGTTTGGGGAAGACTGGAGAGTACATAGCAGGGGATACATGCTGCAGAAAGGGGGGGTTGGAACAGTGGTTGGGTCTTTTATTTAGGAAGTGTGATCCTCCTGCAGCTCCCCTGCAACAGCTGAAGCTGGCAGGAGGGAAGAGGAGGAGAAGTCGGCAGCAGGGGAGCCAGAGGGGGATCGGAGCTAAGCGGGCAGAGAAGAGCAGGAGAGGAAATGTTGCAGAGGGTGCTGGAAAGGCAGAGCGGCAGGGATGGTGCAATGGCCAGGAGAGAGAGAGAGCAGGCAAGGCTGCTGCTGTCCCTACGGCTCAGATTTCTGGCATGGCAAGTATGGTATACCAGTACTTCACTGTCTGCGTTGTAGTTGTTTCATTTGCACAAATCTTTATAGGCAGAAATTCTACAATTTGATCTTCATGAACATTTTTGACTCATCCTGAACACATCATGACAGGTTATGTAACGTTTGGTCTTGTGTATGCAACTTTAGCAACCAGTCAGCAGATCAGCAGCCACTGCTAAAAAAAAATGATGGATGTTGCATGAGTGATTTCCTAAATGATTTTACACATAATGCCATAAATTCATAAACTACTTTTTAAATACAGATTATAAAGCCTATTGAATAGAAGAGTGTGAAGGGAAACCATGTTTTGTTGCACATGCAAATATAATTCATTCCTTTATGTTTGCAAAGCAAACCTGAAAGGGAGATTCTGAGCCCTTGCTGTGGAAATGTTCTTTATAAAGGTAATTTTGGGCCCTGTCACGATCCAGCCGCCACAGAACTGTCTTACCAGGTTACTTCCATGTTGCTCTCGCTCACAGTGTGCATCGCCTGGCCTTGCAAGGGCACCAGAGCAAAAGAAGGTGGGCCATACCCCCCTCCCCGAGTCCTGCCCAATCATTCTGCAAGCCTGGTAGGCTCTGTCGGAATATCAGCCGGGGGAATGAGGTAGAGGGAGGGATCTGTCCCCCATGTTCTCTGTCTCTTGTGGGCAGCTTGCTTCCAGCAGCACACACACCTGAGCTCTTTATGCGTGCACTGATGTTACATAGTCTGGCTGAAAAAAGACAAAAGTCCATCCAGTTCAACCATAAAAAAAAAAGTTATAATTCTATACCCACAGTTGAACCAGATGAAGGCAAAATACCCAGCAAAGCACCACGATCCAGTTTGCTCCTGCAGGCAAAAAAAAATTCCTTCCTGATCCCCCGAGAGGCAATCAGATATTCTCTGGATCAACTTTACCTATAAATGTTAGTATCCAGTTATATTGTGTGTATCTAAGAAAGAATCCAGGCCTTTTTTAAAGCAATACACTGAGCTGCCCAGAACCAACTCTTGAGGGAGTGTATTCCACAATTTCACAGCTCTTACTGTGAAGAAATCTTTCTGTATCTGGAGATTAAATTGCTTTTCCTCCAATCGTAAAGAGTGCCCCCTTGTCCTCTGTGATGACCGCAGGGTGAATGGCTCTACATTGAGTTCACTATATGAACCACTGATGTATTTATACATACGTTGATCATTGTGACAGAACGCGGCATCCGACCCCAGCCCTTCTAACCAACTTGAGACTGATCTCGCACCGCGCTGTCACTTCCATAACAATGCCACTCTCAGCTGTGCCCTGCACAAAGATTTTCCAGCTCGCGGGACTACAATCTATGTGCTAGCAGTTACTGGGTACGCAATTAACCCTTCACACTGCCACCACGACCTTTTTCCAGAGAAGGAGGAAACTCACAAATCTTAGCAGTATCACTATGATATTAATATAAGCGTCTGTGATACACACTGTCACCACAGACAGATGTATTCAGAGGATTATCACATACAGTAGCACTTTTCAAGAGACCGGGTTTTATAGTTTGCATTAAAAGCTTTTGAGACCGTTCCATACTTTTCAGAAAAGAGGATTTATTACTAAAAAGGTCAAAATGGTGCAATTAAAACATTTGCAGAAAAAGATGTAACAAAGATATAAAGAGAACAATAAAACAGAAAAATAAAAGAAAGGAGTTCAGAAAGCAGAATACGTGCAAAAGTCCTTTGGTTTGAGCAGAGTCCAATTGTTCGAACAAAAAGATTGCCATCTCTTAGATGGTTCCTGATCGATGTTAAAGGAGAGCTTCTTTCTCCAGGCTGTCAGTCTTTTTCTATCATATCAAAGGGGTGTCTCCTGAGAACAAATAGCCAATCATCCAGTTTGGGGATATGTGTTAGGCAGTAACCAAGGTTATGACCAAATCCCTTGCAATTTCATACTAAGGTCAATAACCTTCAATAGGTACAGGTAGCATCCTAGCAACTGGCAGATTAATATTTAGAATTATATTCCAAACGCACAGGTACCAAACATAGTGTACCCTTGTCACTCAGGATAAAAGACTGCTTCTTCTCTCTTGTAGGTACTAATATAGTGATGTAAGGTCTTGTGTGACTCATATTTATATGACCTATCCGAATATATACTTCATAATAATGTGCCCGGTTCCTGCTGAAGTTTATGAATTGTATGAAAAATGACTCATGTGGAATGTATGTTTTATGGCATGCTTTATTGTTTTATGATCGGGCAGAGGAAAGTGGTTTTCAAGCAGACCCCCTGGAACCAGACTAATTAGAGGTTTACAGCCCTGAAGCTTATCTATCTGTGTTTTATTTAGAATAAGAGATCCTTTTGACCTTGGTTCAACTCATAGCTATGTATTCCATTGAAAAGGGAGGAGGGAGGACAGGGAGAGACAACATGGCTGAGACCTAACAAGATGGCTGTCATGTACAGCATCCATGTCTCTAGTGCACACACAATCATCACAATCATATCCCCCTTAATCTCCTGTTCTCAAGAGAGAATAAATTCAGTTCCTCTAATCTTTCCTCATAGCTGAGCTCCTCCATGCCTCGTATCAGTTTAGTTGCCCTTCTCTGTACTTTCTCGAGTCCCCCAACGTTCTTTTTGTGAATTGGTGCCCAAAACTGAACTGCATATTCCAGATGAGGTCTTACTAATGATTTGTACCGGGGTAATATGATATCTCTCTCTCTCTCTTTTAATACAAGAGAGGATTTTGCTCGCTTTAGAACCTGCAGCTTGGCATTGCATGCCATTATTAAGCTTGTGATCTACCAGAACTCCCAGATCCTTCTCCACCATTGATTCCCCCGGTTGTGACACAGTAAGACACTGAACTTTGTGCAGGCACTGCCGTAGCTATCAACAGAGAAGTGTGGCACCAGCCTCTGGCAAACAAACTCACTAGCACTACTGCTGACTGTCTGTGATGATCCTTGATTTCCGGGATGCAGCCTGGGACAAGGTCAATTCTGGACAGCTTTTAAAAAAATCCTTAAATGTCCCGGTAAATATGGGACAGTTGGAAACTATGGGTTATATTTACAGTAGACTAGTGATTCTGGGTGTACATCTGACCAGTGGGGTGTAAAGCAATGATTTGCATGGCTTTGTATGAAATGATGAATTATCCTTTTATTCTTGGGAAATGAGATGGGAGAATACCTTTTGCTTTAACCGCTCACCATATAAAGTAATGACGGGCGAAAGGTGGTTCTCTCATTCTGGCACACTCTAACCGCACATGAGCAGCTCCGGGAGCGTGCGGCGATCGGTGGTGCGTTGTGTCTCCCGACACAGCGGATCACCAATCAATGCAAAGAGCCGAAGATGTCGGCTCAGTCATGTGATCAGCTGTGTCCAATCACAGCTGATCACATGTAAATATGGAAATGTCGGTTATCGGCATTTCTCTCCTCACGAACTGTCGGCATTCCACAGAGAGGACATGTACACTGATCATCAGGGCACTGATGATCAGTGTGCCCTGATGATCAGTGTAGCCCCAGCAGTGCCACCTGTCAGTGTCCATCAATGCCAGCTGTCAGTGCTCGTTAATGCCACCTGCCAGTGCCCATCAGTGCCTCATCAATGCCACATATCAGTGCCTACCAGTGTACACCAATGCTACATATCAGTGCCGATCTGAGCTGCCTTTCAGTGTCCCCTATCAGTGCCACCTATCAGTGCCGCCTACCAGTGCCAGTCAGTGCCGCCTATCAGTGCCCATCACTGATGCCTGTCAATGCCCATCAGTGCCACCTACCAGTGCCCACCAGTGCAGCCTATCAGTGCCCATCACTGCAGCCTCATTAGCGCACCTCAGTGAAGGAGAAAAATCACTTATTTACAAAATTTTATAACAAAAACATTTTTTCCCCCAAAATTTTCAGTTATTTTTGGTTTGTTTAGCAAAAAATTTAAAAACCAGAGGTGATTAAATACCACCAAAAGAAAGCTCTATCTGTCTCAAAAAAAATTATAAAAATGTCATATGGGTACAGTATTGCATGACCGCACAATTGTCATTCAAAGTGCGACAGCGCTGAAAGCTGAAAACTGGCCTGGGCAGGAAGGAGGTATAAGTGCCCTGTAGGCTAGTGGTTAAGAAGGCTTTACTGTGCACTTCTGATGCTGCTTTTTTTCTTTCTTTTCTCTTTACTGGGGGTGCGGGAGGAAGGGGCTGTTATTAAAGCAGACTTTGCATAAAAATAAATATATTGATTTTTGCTCACATTTATTTAGCCAAGATCCTCTTCTGTAATTTCTGTCCCCTGAGCAGTCTATCAATACAGAACTATCAATATCGCCTTGTTACAATCAGAGGATCTGGTAATAGGCTTTCATATCTACCTAATTTGTTTTTATACAACACACAAAAACTGACATTTTGTGTGACTATTCTAAAAGCAGCTCAGGCACCTCCGGAGAATTGTCGGTATTACAGAGGAAGTTACACTAATTCTGTAAGGTAATAAAACAAATAAAGGTTGATCACTAGAGAGCAGACAACAGTGTGCGCCAGTTTCCATGGCGATAATGTATACGCACTCTGATTCCATCCACTGTCTTCTAGAATTTACAGTGTTCAATAATCTGTTTCACGGAGACGGCTGCAGTTTACATCTGGAATGCTACAAGAACAAAGGCATTTTAGAACATAAATTATTAAGTGTATCAGTGTATGAAATCCCTAGACTTCACATGTATAAAATGTGAACCTGGGCTTTGAAGTACAGCTTTTCTTTCCTAAAACAGAAGGCATTTTCCATGGCATCCCTTCCGTCACAATCCACAAAGACAATGGCGCTATTTCTCATTTAAAGGGGAAGTTCAGTTTTTAAAATCGTATGCATATAAAAAAGGTAAGCGTGCTGTATAAATTCATATCGGTTTAATGCGGGGGTCAGCAACCTGTAGATCTCGAGCATGTGACTGGCAGATCACGGTCAGGCTTGCTGACTCGCCATCCCAGAGCATCAAACACAGTAAAGTTGAAGCTGTAGGCGGGTAGCAAGATCCGCATACGTTGACGTCTCCTCTGCAGTGCTGCTTCTACGACCTGCGTGGTTGATGGGTGTTGCACCTGCCAAGCATGACCCATTCAAGTGAATGATGACGCTCTGCAAGTGCCCTGCAACCTTGTGCAGTACAGCAAACAAGGGGTTAAACAGGCAGCATTGTGTTGCTTTCTCACCTGCTTTAACCCCTTGGATCCCGCAAAAGCATGCAGTTGTGGGGCGCTTGCAGAGTCGCCCCATTTATTTGAATGCGTTTCAATTGACAGGTGGTAGCGCCCACCAAAAGTAACAGGGGGCATAATTCCTGCTGCAGCATGTGTACACCTTTTGGCTGCTGCTTCAGCAGCTAAAGGGGCAAGGGACTGGCGCAGTAAAACCGTGACTCAACTGCAGAGTTTTACCACCCCCATCTTTACATGTGAATGAGCCCTTATGCCCCATACACACAATCAGAAAATCATACGAAAATTGACGTTTTCAAAGCGATCATATGATAATCTGGTCATCAGTACACAGCATATGTCCGAAATTGCGCGAAAATGTTTGCTGTACGATACCAGATCAAACAATTTTTGTTTAATCAGTACAGTTTTCGTCTGAACATACAATACAAATAAGTTACGTCACTTCCGAAGTTTTATTCTGTCATACAATCATTTTCATAACTTTAGTAACCTTTGTATTGGGGATGTGGAGGTAGAGGCACTATGTATTGTCACGACCCGCGGCCGCCGCCACCAACAGGCGACAATCGCACAGCCGCGACTAACAGTAATACGTCACGCCCACGGCGTCAGACCCCAGACCTTCTCAACAAACTCGTGACCGAAGGGCCGGCCGATCCAAAACCGCGGTGTGACGCGCGTAACAAGGCCCCACCCAGCTGCACCCTACACAGCGATTGCCCAGCTAATGGACTACAATCGGTGCCTGCAGCCTGAATGCGCTTGTTACTGGGTCGGGTTAGTTACGCAACTAACCCTCTACTGCCACCACCACTTTTGTCGGAGACTGGGAAACTCCCGTTATCAAATATACACTATAATGATTGAAATATTGATCTATATAGCACGGCCCGCGGACCTACTATACAGAGATATAACCAACCCGTAGCGTCTCTTCAAAGGCAGGGATTCGTGAATTGCAAGTAAGCGCTTAGAAACAGTTTAACACTTTCAGAAAGAAAGATTTATTACCAAAAGCGTCGCACAGATGCAAATAAATATTTACGAAGAGATGTCACAAAAATATATATATATGTATATAAAGACACAGCAAACATAGAATAGCGAGGAAATTACAGGGTAAGTTTCTTGCCTTGCCTGGTTTTAGCAAATTCAAGATGCAGAGCAGAAAGGTTCTTTGATCTCCTCTGTTACGATGTTACCTCGGAGATCTCTGTGTGTGAGTCAGACTAACTCACTTAACTCTCTTAAAGGTCCATCTCCCGAGTGTAGCTCGGGGTAACATTTCAGTACCAAAAGCGGTAACCCCGAGCTACACTCGGGAATACCCATGCGGCACTGCTCCGGCATGTGTTCTTCACTTACCTTACCCTGCGCTCCCACGATGTGTCCCCTGCAGCGTCCCTGGCCATCTCCTCCGGCCGATGCCGGCATCCGGCTTCTGTGTCCTGTCCCTGTGACGTCGGGACGTACGGGCGCCGCCGGCGGCGGCGGGAAATTTAAAAATTTTAAAAAATGTCATTTTTTTTTTTTTTACATTTTACATAGTAAAACATTGCTGTCTCAACCAATTTCACATACATTTTGTCCCTAGTGCTTTGTCCTGTGCCCTGCCTGCATTTTGTCTGTTCTTTCTGCCTGGAAACTGAGAAACGTCCATGGCATCCAAAAAGTGTGTCCTTTAGGTCAAAAGCGGTTTAGATCAGCTAGAGAACAGCGATAGTAAATCTTGCACTTGCAGAATTGAGGATAATGATTCGTGGGGGGGGGGGCGACTGAGCTGAGCTTGGGAAGTGGTCATTTCAGTGTTTTTGGTTTGATTATATTATTGGAAACTCTACACGGGATGTTTAAATTACCAGCTTCATATCCCGTCTACAATTGATATTCATAATGCCATACAGTTTTCAGCCTGAAGAGTTTCTCAAAGGGGAAGGGGGGGGGGGTCTTGGGAGTGGTTTGATAAGGTGTATGAACCATACAGTTGCCCTGGGCGTTTGATACTTACATAGCTTTGGGTGACCAAAGTGACACCTCCGCAGACAGGCTGGCTCCACTTCTCATGGTTGTTCCACATCATCTGCCAGGAGATAAAGTCTGCCTCACAGGAATGCAAGGGGGGGGGGGATGTGAGGAATGATTCGAGGAAGACCTCAAATACAGCAAGGAACAGGGGAACTCCGCTTCCAGCTCTGATGAGCTAGTTTGTTACAAAAGCAAAGGTTGAAGGAGAACTCGCTTCCAGCTCTGAGGAGCTAGTTTGCTATATGTATCACATATGGTGGGAGTGTCCTAGAATACAGGAGTACTGGGAGAAAATTGTAAATTGGATTCGGAAAATTACAGAGGTTGATATAATATTAGAGCCAGAGACTTGCCTTTTCCATAGTACCAAGCTTTCAGTCAAAAAGGATAAAAAATCTGGTGTATTGTATTATTTGAATGCAGCAAAGGGCTTGATACCCAAGTTTTGGCAGAGACATGAAGTGCAGAAAATAGAGGACTGGGTTGATAGGGTGGAAGAAATATATACGATAGAGGAACTATACCATATGAGCGAGGATAAGATGGAGAGTTATTATTTAACCACTTGCCCTCCTGAGGATTTACCCCCCTTAATGACCAGGCCTATTTTTGCTACTCGGCGCTGCACTAATTCAACTGATAATTGCGCGGTCTTGCAATGCTGCACCCAAACAAAATTTACGTCCTTTTTTTCACACAAATAGAGCTTTCTTTCGGTGGTATTTGATCACCTGTGCGCTTTTTATTTTTCACGCTATAAACAAAAGGCCAAAAATGTTGAAGAAAAACAATATTTTTTACTTTCAGCCATAAAAAATATATAGTAAACTCAAAGTTGGTTATAAATTTAGGCCAAAAATGTATTCTTCTACATGTTTTTGGTAAAAGAAATCCCAATAAGTGTATATTGATTGCTTTGTATGAAAGTTATAGTGTCTACAAACTATGGTATAGATACTGCAATTTACTCCATTTTGTTTACTATACAGCGCTGCGCTAGTTTAACGGACAATTGCGCGGTCATGCAATACGGTACATAAATGAAATTTATGTCCTTTTTTTTCCCCCACAAATTGAGCTCTCTTTCGGTAGTATTTGATCGCCTGTGCGTTTTTTATTTTTTGCGCTATAAAAAAAAAGGCTGACAATTTTGAGGAAAAAAAACAATATTTTGGACTTTTTGCTATAAAACATGTCCAGTTAAAAAAAATTTAAAAATCAAATTTAGTCATAAATTTCTGCCAAAATGCATTCTGCGACATATCTTTGCTAAAAAAAAAACCAATACATGTAAATTAATTGGTTTACGTGAAAGTTATAGCATTTACAAATGGCGGGAAAGATACTGGGATTTTTAGTTTTAGTTTTTTTTTTATACTAATAATGGCGGCGATCAGGGACTTATGGCGCGATCAAGGACTTATGGCGGCGATCAGCGACTTATGGCGGGACTGCAGGACTGCGGCGGACATTCTGACACTGGAGGGTACTGACTTGAGGTCACTGA